TGTTTGTCATATACATTAACTTTAACAACAGGAAGATACAAGTTTGGCCTGGAAGTATATACTTCTTGGTTACCCTTTTGGAGTAAAGGGAACAAACTACTCAACATGGAGACAAATGGGGTGGATCATCTCAAGAAATGTTATTTTTTTATGAAGGTGTGTTTTCATTCAGAATTCACAAGGGCAATCAAAGCACAGATGAACTTCTTAATGGATAGAGCTCATGCAAATTCCAACCCACACAGACAGTACAAGGACAAAATGTAGAGCAGTGCAGAAATGCTGGTCCACAAGATCAGGAAGAAACTGTCTTGCATCCCCGCGAAATCAACCCAGGACATTAAAGAGAGAATAAGATTTGGAGGAAGATTATATGTTATTTAACAATTAGTATAGAGTTCTGCTCTTGCAAGAAAACAACTCAAGACAACATTGCCTGCATTGAGTCTTAAGAATCAATCATAATATGGTAACAAAAAATTCCCAAGTCTTCCCTGAAATATACCACGAAAGTGCAACATCACAAAGAACTTACTGCTCCAAATGAACTTAACAGAACATACATGTCATTAGGCAGAAGAAATCCAAAATTCAAGCATCTGGTTAACCAAAATCTTTTCTCATACCAGTACTTATTACACAAAACTTGATAAGAGAATCACTACACAAAATGGGGGCAAAGGTTATACAATCTGAATGCATCACGGGAACAATTTATATATTCAAAGCAGGTAACTCCCTTTCTTTGCCGACTACAGATTTCAAAGAAGTCTTCAGTGAGTCTACAGAGAAAGCATCATTTCCCTTGGCAAACTACTCTGGAGCCTGACAACAAAAGGTCAGTGAGACCTTATACCCTGAAGATAACGACCTACTTGCTGAGCACCAATAAACAAGGCATCAGCAACAAGAAAGACTCCAATCTGTGGATCACATAATATGACATTATCCGGTTAGATTGGCGCCAATATATTCAGATTCAGATATACCATTACCTGTCCAGAATAAGAAAATACTTACGAGACGGGCAGAATACAGCAATCGATAACCCCAGCCTTCTTTGCCAGCAGCAACTCTTTGTTGGTCTGTCCAACTGTGTATAAAAGGGGAATGACCAAATGTTAATAACTGCATTCAGTGAACTGAAACAGACATAATAAAATGCTAACAGTTTGCAATATCAAAAAGCACAAGTACAGTACAAATCAAGGTAGAAACTTTACACAACAGGATATAAAGGATAAAAATCACACAGTGCAGACCAAGCAAAGTTCAACTACAGGAGTGTTTTAAAGACTGGATGTAAGCTAAAGAAGGTATTATACCGAGTTAATAAATTAAAACAGGAACTTTATTTCTTGTTTGCCAAAGTGTCCCTAAAACAGTTGACAATGGGTTATGGTCAATGGCGTAAAGCAGTAAAGCACAAAAGAGGGACCCGTGAACCCTAAGCCAAAACAGCAACTAGTTTTAACACCACCATGCTTTCTTGCTTCTGGTTCATGGGTCCTTTGTGTTTTTCTGCTTTTATGTTATTGACCATATCACATTAAGTTTGTTGATTGATGACTATTTGCAGGCAGACCAGCTAATTTGCATCAAGATTTATGTAAGTTCACCATTGATTCTAAACTATGCCAAAAATAGACGGGTTTAACATATCCACTTCCCATGTGCCTCACATTGCTGAAGTATATAATAGGGTATTCATATGCTCCAAAACAGAAAGCATAAAAAAGTTTCACGGTGAGGGAAACTATATCTGGCTTCGTCTCATACTAAAAGTTATTAAAAAACCATAAATCTGGTTCCTATATGACCTCTCATAATTAGGAAAAATCAAAACAAATCCTAAATTTTTAACACAAGCATCTGATAATGAAGTGGCAACAAAGATGAGACATGTACCCAAGGAACCCTGAGATCCCACCAATTCCAGCAAACCTCAAAGGCTGAGGTCCTTCTCTGACAAGATCCTACACCAATTAGTTGGAATCACCAAAGATTTCAATTTTAGTAACAGAAGAAAATAAGAATTAACCAGAAAATCTGAAACATGAACAAAGGAGTTAAAGACTAAAAAGAATAAATGAATGGATATGAAACTAAACTCTCAAAAGAGAATCAAATATACTTCCTCTTCTGCAGACTCAAGACCCCCTTGAACCCAGAAAAGATTTCTATAGCCAGCATTGAGAAGTAGCTCACAAGCAGCTAGAGATCTGCCAGAAAATTATGTTCACTGAAGAAAAATATATAGCATAACAATAATCATTTAAGTAGCAACTCAAGGTATTCAGTTATGGAAAAAATAAGGACAATCTCTGCCCTCCCTCCTTCCCCCTCTTCCCACCCCTAAAGCATAGGAAAGAAAGAAAAAACATAAAGAACTCTGACATGCAGAAAAGGAGGAGAATGAGGAAGATATCCTTCTTTATCATCTTCATTTTTCATTCCAGACCAACAATAATGGAGAAAGAGAAGAAAGAAACCCTTCTCTATCAACTATGGCATTCCGGGTTCATATTGAAATCCACATATTTTTCTTTCCCATCCTATTGTGGAATTGTATCTCAGGAATCCTAATAAATGGTCGAAGTTCCAAAGGCACATTTGAATTTTGAAATAGCCTAAACAGCAGAGGCATGATATCTCAAGAAAAGGCTAGGAAACACAATGATCCTAATCGAGAACCAATTTTGTATATTACAATAAATCCAAAAATTGGCACCTCTACCTGTCTTGGCAGCAATCATTTGACCTATCTCCATCATTTTTGTATGAAAACATGTTTTCATCAGCATTAGAATTCTTTTCTAGTCAACAACATAAAACTAGAAAACTCAAAATGACTGCAAGATATATCACTTCCGAATTAGTTGAGTGGATCACTCAAAGACCTAAATCAGTTAAATGAACCACTACCTGAAATGACAATCAATGTAAATGTTATTATCACCTCAAACCCTTCTGGCAAGCAACAATAAGTTCAGCATCTTTTGGAAACTTTTCCTCAACTTTTAACAAGAACTGCCTGTTAAAATAGCATAAAATAAAAAAATAAATAAACAATAGACTTTTCATAGCATAATAGGCATAAGCAAAACCAAAAAGTAACCAAAATAGTGACATACTTGTAATAAGATAATTTAGGTGCACCGCTCCACCAACCTCCTATATTAATCCAAGCCAATTCAAGAGTGAATGCCACAAATTCCAATGGAAGTTTTCAAATAGCAAGAAAGTTTCTTTCATAATCTAAAGATATGAAAAGAAAATCATTTCAAACCATCTACTCCTTCTCCCATGTCTAACGCACGAAGTGAAAGATCACGTTTATTTTAAAGAATGATCACGTAATTCATCAGTAAAATTACAAATAGAGATAAGATTCACAGCAAATAGCTGGAACATGCAACCGATACAAGTTAGAAGAATAGTTTAATACCCATCACAAAATTTGGTGACTTTTCTTGAAAGAGTTCCCACATCAAATTGATCATCACATCAATATGAATCCAAGTCGAACCTTTCACCCATGCTTTGATACAGGGAAAAAAGGGTTACTACTTGACAAAGATACTAACCAAAAGATACACTGAAGCAAAATTTCATAAAAAGGGATACAAGGTTAAGAAATTTTTTCTATAGAAATCCGATTATAAACTCTAACAAAGTATTTTGAGTTAAGGACAACCAACGTATGAACAAAAAAAAAGCCAAGTAATTTCATGACCTGAATTTAGAGGCAGAAAAGAAACTGAAAACAAAGTATTGAAAGAAGAAAATTCACCTTCTCACGTTCAGTAGAGGGTCGAACATCAAGTAGTGGTTTGCCAGAAAGTTGAATGGCATACCCTGCTTCTCTTGGTGTCAGAACCTTAACCTTTCCATCCCTGAGCTGCAGATGCAGAATAGTAAAAGAATTGAAAGCCAAAAGTTTTCTCTCTTTTCTTCCTTTGAAATATATGTTCATTACCAATCGAAATATCTCAGCTAAAAGCTAACACAGAACCTTTTGAATGTCATATCGCACACAGGACTGACTGATATTTGAATCCAAAAAAAAATCAAACCATGTTAGTTTAGTTGATCAGTCTAATAGTTTGTTTGACTAACTCTATGTTGGTTAGTCAGTTGTGCTATGTTAGTTGTGAATCAGTTTGTAAAACACAACAGACTTAATACATGTATAAATAGGACATACAAGTACTTCCATCTGTATCAAAAAACACCAATCTTTGTGAATAAAAGAGAAAAGAAAGTTAATTCCTTTTTCTTCTCTGTAACAGAGTTCTACTGTAAACTCATTCTCTTTTTTCTTCTCATCTGTAACAAATTTTACAGCAAACTTGTTTATGTTCATAGTATCAGAGCAGCACCAGTGATAGAAGGCGATGAATCAAGCGCAGAACAACACTACTTCGATTGGAAGAACTTTGGCAATGAATCAGTCAAATGAGAACCCCGGAATTTCACTTGTCTCAATTCCCTAAAATAGCATGACCTATCGTACATGGAGCAAATCAGTCAAAATCGCGCTGGCAGCAAAACATAAACTGGGCTTCGTAACTGGTAAAGTAAGAATCCCATCTGAAGATTCAACAGAATATGAAGATTGGTTTGCAAGTAATGCTATGGTGGTTTCTTGGACATTAAACTTACTCTCAAAAGAGTTCCATGAAGCATTCCTCTTTGTGAACTCAGCTCAGGAACTATGGGATAAACTGGAAAAAAGGTTTGGTGAGTCATATGGACCTCGAGAATACTAGGTGAAAAGAGAGTTAGGATCTACTTCTCAAGGAAACGACTCCCTCACAGTATACCTCACCAAGCTTTGTCGGCTGTGGGATGAGTTGAACAGCATCGTTCCGACTGTGGGATGAGTTGAACAGCATCGTTCCGACTCCACAATGCACGTGTGGAGGATGCACTTGTGGCATTTCAGAACAGGTCTTAAGGCTGAATGACAACTCGAAAATTATGCAGTTTCTCATGGGTCTCAGTGACTCATAGGATCAAGCCAAAAATCAAATATTGCTGCTTGATCCTCTGCCTCACATTGACAAGGTATACTCAATGGTTATGAATATTGAAAAACAGCGACAAGTGACAAGCAGTTTTACTGAAGGGATGGATGTAGCAGCCTTAACCACATCCTTTGCCTCACAAAAGAGTATCGGCATAGGCAGAAGCAAGTTCAGAAAGGAGTCATTCAAGAAGGAAGAAAAATTCTGCATGTATTGTGAAGAGAATGGACATACAAAAGATACATGCTTTAAGCTACATGGATATCCAGACTGGTATAAAGAACTGAGGCAGAAAAAGAAAGGACCTGCTGCATACAAAACCAAAATCAACATGGCAGATACTCCACTTGATAATGAGAAATTGGGAAGTAATCATGAAAAACAGGAAGGAAGTATGATGAGAATGTCCCTGAGGGAAATTATCCAAGAGGAGTTGTCGAAGATGCTGAAGGGAAAGTCCACTGCATATCACAACTTTGTGGGATATATACATAAAAATTTGCAAGTATAGTTTCTGATATAACTTTAAAAAATTCTTATTGGATAATAGATACTGGGGCCAACAATCATATTTGTGCAAATAGCTCCCTGTTTCACAGCCTTAGTAGAATAAAAAGGCTGAGCTTAGTGCATTTACCGAATGGAACAATTTTAAGGGTCAAATATTCTGGAGATATAGATTTGAAGAATGGGCTGACTCTGAAAGAAGTGTTACATATACCTTCCTTTTACCACAATTTATTGTCTGTCAGCAAGCTTACCAAAACTAATGGAGTTACATTCATCTTTCGTCCTGAATTTTGCCTAATACAGGACCAGAAGACTAACAAAACAGTGGCTGTCAGCAAGTCTGTAGGCAACCTATACTGCCTTGATTCCACCTCCTTCAAAACCAGAAAGTATCAGACAGTATGAGGTTCATACCTGTGGCTCTGCTTCAGATTATCTGTTGAATAATGGAATAGTTAGTAATGTAATGGATACCTCAACATGTTGGCATCAAAGATTGGGGCATCCCTCTGCACTTGTGCTAAAAATTACGTTTTAAAGATAATAAAGGGGATCGGTCAGCCGAACCATGTGATGTATGTGTGAAAGCAAAACAAAGGCGAATATCATTTGAAAGTAGTGATAAACATAGTGATACATTGTTTGAACTAATGCATGTGGATGTATGGGGTCCCTATAATCAATTATCCTTTTCTGGTGTCTCTTACTTCTTGACAATTGTAGATGATAAAAGTAGATGCACTTGGACATATCTCATGCAGAATAAAGCACAAACTGGATCTCTACTTGAAAAGTTTATCAGAATGATCACAAAACAGTTTGATGCAAAAATCAAAACAATTAGAAGTGATAATGGAGGAGAGTTTTTGGCCTCTACGTGTCAGAATGTATTCACTGAATTCGGCATAATTCATCACACCACCTGTCCTTATTTCTCACAACAGAGTTGAACGAAAACATAGGCAACTATTGCAAGTAGCTCGAGCTGTACTGTTCCAAGCCTCACTGCCACTGACCTTTTGGGGAGAAGCAATACTGCATGCCGCATACATTATAAACAGACTGCCTTCTGCAATCCTAAATTAGAAAAAGTCCGCGTGAAATACTGCATCAAAAACCGCCAGACTACAGCAGACTTAAAGTATTCGGATGCCTATGTTATACAACGAATAATCAACCTCACAAACACAAGTTTGCTCCAAGGGCTTTTAAATGTGTTTTTGTGGGGTTTGTTGCAAAAAAGAAAGGATACAAGCTTCTCGATATTGATAACAATCGATGGATAGTGTAGAGAGACGTAATCTTCTATGAAAATCAGTTCCCATACGCGACTCAAGGACAGACAGAAGCATCAATAGTCGTTCCTCAAGTTTCAATTATTGAATCAAGCACACATCAATATACAGGTGCACAAACAGATGACATCATCAATACTAATTTACCCGATACAAGTACATCGACCGAAGTCCAAGTTTTAGATTCTGATATGCTGCAAATAGAAGGCATCCGCTGTCCCAATCTTGATGCTGAAATAGAAAATGGTAGTCTCACTCTCAAAGGGAAAGTACAAGAGTGAAAAGAAAACCCAATTGGTTACAAGATTACATAACCACTATTAATTGTGCAACAGCAACAAAAAAGATTTTAACTTCACCATACATACCCAAGACCTTTCCCTTTATCTCCAATTCCATTTTGGATGCTGATCACTCCAATTTTTTGGCGAATGTTACCATGTTGAAAGAGCCAAAAACTTATAAGGAAACAAAACAATCCAGTGAGTGGATACAAGCAATGGAAACTAGCAGCATTGGAAATGAACCGAACATGGACTTTAACTGTCCTGCCTCTTGGAAAATCAGCCATCGGATGCAGATGGATCTTTAAATTGAAGCTGAAACCTGATTGGACAGTAGAAAAATATAAAGCAAGGTTGGTTGCAAAGGGTTATCATCAAGTGGAAGGAGTAGACTATATTGACAGCTTCTCACCAGTAGCAACAGTGGTTACAGTCAGAATCTTAATGGCAGTTGCAGCAGCTAAACAATGGCCACTACACCAACTGGATGTTAACAACGCATTTCTCCATAGATTTTTAAATGAGGAAGTGTATATGCAACCTCCAGAAGGCTATGACAGAGCAAAAATGGGAGAAGTATGCAAGTTTCAAAGATCTCTTTATGGTTTAAAGCAAGCATCCAGACAATGGAACTCTGAATTATGACACTTTCTAATCCAATACGGCTTTCTACAATCAAGTCATGATCATTGTCTCTTCTCTTATCAAAAAGATCAACACTTTATTGCTCTCCTCGTCTATGTTGATGATTTACTTGTCACTGGAAATTCAGAAACAGAGATTACTATGCTGAAGATAGCATTAGATGCAAAATTCACCATTAAAGATTTAGGGGCTGCAAAATACTTTCTGGGTCTAGAAATCACAAGAACAGCAACTGAAATATATATTAATCGAAGAAAATATGTTTTGGATATACTTAAAGACGCCGGCCTTCTGAGTACAAAGCCAAAATCTATCCCATTCCCAAGAGGACAGCAATTACATTCAAAGGAATCACCATTACTTGATGACCCTCAAGAATACAGAAACATTGTAGACAGACTCCTATATTTGAGTTTTACTCGCCCAGACCTGACATACGCCGTCCAACAGTTGAGTCAACATGTGCAGACTCCTAGAATGATGCACTTGAAAGCAGCACACCATGTTCTCAAGTACCTAAAGCAAGAACCATCTTTAGGATTATTCTTCCCAGTAGAGAACAACTTCAACATTACAGCTTATTGTGATTCAAATTGGGTAGCATGCCCAGAAACTAGAAAATCCCTCACTGGATACTGTATATTCTTTGGGTCTTCACTAGTATCATGTAAAGCAAAAAAACAATCTACCGTCAGTCAAAGCTTAGCAGAAGCGGAGTACAGATCCATGGCAATGACAGTTTGTGAGCTACAATGGATTTTGTATATTCTCCAAGATTTGAAGATCTCTTATTCTCTACCTATAGATCTTAAATGTGATAACAGAGCAGCAATGCATATAGCTGTCAATCCAGTGTTCCATGAAAGAACAAAACACTTGGATATAGATTGCCACATGGTTCGAACTAAGAGAAAAGAGGGTATTATCGCAACAACATATGTTAGCTTAGCTACTCAAATAGCCGACATGTTCACTAAACCACTCTCCTCTCCAGGCTTTCAAAATCTGCGTTCCAAGTTGTCTTTGGCAGATGCCCACCAAAATCTAACTTGAGGTGGGGATGTTAGTTTAGTTGATCAGTCCAATAGTTTGTTGGACTAACTCTATGCTGGTTAGTCAGTTGTACTATGTTAGTTAGTTAGTTGTTAATCAGTTTGTAAAACATGGCAGACTTAATACATGTATAAGTACTTCCATCTATATCAAAAAACACCAATCTTTGTGAATAAAAGAGAAAAGAAAGTTAATTACTTTTTCTTCTCTGTAACAGAGTTCTACTGTGAACTCATTCTCTTTTTTCTTCTCATCTGTAACAAGTTTTACAGCAAACTTGTTTCTGTTCAAACCACCGCAGTATGAATACGAAATAAATTCATATTAACTAACTACTGAACAAACCCAACTGGAAGCTTCAAGGCCATAATAGTTTAACATTCGTATAAGACGAGTTAGTAATGATTATAAAAATAAAACAAAAATGTGAGAGTTTTTCTGGTAAGCGGTGGCATAATTAGAATTAATTCGTACCATAGCATCCCATCTTTTCTTAGCAGCAGCCATATCTCTCATCTGCTTCAATTCGAAATCTTCTTCCCCAGATTGCATTCGAACAACATCCATTTGCTAAATTATTAAACCAAAAGAATCAAAACTTCGCTTCACTTTGACAGCAACCAAACAGAGTACGATATAGTAAAAGAAAAACATTAAAATATACAAAAGAAAAAGCTCTAACATAGACTAGAAAAAGAGTTTAGGAATGCACATAAAAGTGACGAGTAATTTGACGGGGTCTGCGCCTTATTAAAGATGGCTTTGAATTTGCTTTTGATGATAATCTTAAGCGCTGTTCTCTGGGGAGTTTCGAATGAGAAAATGCTACAGCATTTAGACCATACAGACCTAAAGACTCCATTGTTCAAACCTCTGGATCCACCGAAATTTTATGTTTCGCTTATCTCCTAAGATGGCTAGCTTTAAGGTTTGCTTATCCTGGATATAACAGGTGGAAGGATAATCAAGACAAAATCAGACCGTGTCAGGCTGTCTGCACCCTTCTTTGCATTTCTACTGCTACCACTATGAACATCGGCCCCGCTGTAATCCTCTCACAAGAAGAGCACTGTACGTTTTCCCCTTGCAATATACTCATCAGGCGCGTGTTTCGCACGCATTTGAAATGTATCTTATTTCCAAAAGAAAAACCCTCAGTCCCTAGTTATATTTTTTTGCCAAAATATTAATTTGTCACTTATAATATCGAAAAAAAAAAATTAAAATTAGCCTGTATATTTCTTTTTATTATTTTAGTCCATGATTGTTAATTTCTACTAGTACGTTAGTGAAATGTGTCACATGAATCTTAGTCAAACATATAACACATTCTAATTGATCCTTCGTTGTCCATGTTGAATGTTACATTAGTCTTTATTATGTATTTTTTTATTAATTTAATTTTTTTTTTACTTTAAAATATTTCTATTTCAATTTTTAACTATTAACTTTCACTAACAATGTCAGCAAAAATGTCACGTTAATTCAGATTACACATGTAACACATTCTGTTTGGTCATTATCCATGTTGAATGTCACACACCATCTAACATGACATTTTTAATTCTTAAAACACAAAAATATTTTACGTAGAAAAACAACCTAAATTGACATTTAATCTTAGATCCCCTGAATTCATAATTTTGATACGATATATCATCCGCTTATAACTCAAGAGGATTAAGTTTGTTCTCTAACTTCTCTCTAATTTTCATCCCTTTACTCTCTAAGCCACCAAAATTTGACCTATTTAAAATTTTTCCCAAATTCGAGCTTCTAACTTGGTTTTCAATCTTTAAACTTATTACAATATTTTCATTCAATCCACCACTCAGATTTCCATGCTATCATTTTCTTTGGTTAGCGAATTAGATCTCACAAAGGAACCTTCCTTCTCGACTTTCATTAATAACTTAAGGGTCTTATCATGCATTAGCCTCAATAGGTTCAAGATTCATTATTCCTTGACAGTATCAAGCTATTTTATAAGATAACTATTTTTTGTTTGTTTTTAGCATTTATTATATATATGCTCCTTTAAGATTATAACAAATTATTTTCTCATTCTTATATTTACAATTCCTCGTTGTATAAATATGGACAAAATGTCTTCATATCAATCTAGACAATTATTATTTTTGCCAAGCTTCACATGGTATAATAGCCATAAATAATGGCATTAGTTCCTATCCAAAAACATCGTCACTACCTCTCATCACTCTTTCTCCATTAAACTCATAAGTAAGAACTATCTTTCTTGAAAAACACAATCCCTACACCTCTTAAACTATAAAAAATTAATGGGATATGTTGATGGCTCTTTACATATTCCACCGAAAAAAAAACCAAACCTTAACAAACTTGAAGAAACTGTTTTAAACCAAAATTATGAAACATGGTCTCAAAAAAATCAAACATTACTTTGTTGGCTTCTCTCTTGCCTATCCAAAGAGGTTTTCCTCTATGTCATTGACACAACCTTCTTCCACGAGGTTTGGAATGCCTTAGCCAATACATTTGGCTCCATTTCACATATTAGGCAACTGCAACTCAATGTTGAATTGAAGAACTCGAGAAAAATTATCTGACAGTTTATTGATACCTTTAAAAGGTAAAGTCTCTAATTGATGAACTAATCTATGCGGGTCAAACTATCACACCTTCTGAGTTCAATCCTATTATTTAGCGAAATACAGGAAGTGAATATCACTATCTCATCACTGCTCTTAATTTAAGACTATATCCAATTTCATGTAATGAAATGCATAGCTCATCTCATGGTTCATGAGTACTGCTCAATAATTTAACATATTTTTACCAGTTGTAAATGCTTTTCAATAAGTTTAAAATCAACCTTTGTATTTACCTTCACACCTTCTTCATCAACCTCTACAACTTCTATCACCATACAATCTTT